CTCATCCCCCCCCCCGGCCCACCTCGAGGCGGGAGGGGGCGCCGCTCTCTGCGAATGTCCGCTCGCGATCGGAGGCCTGCGGGGCGGCGCGGACGCCGTCGAGGTACGGGTCGAGGTGCCTAGTCACGTCCAGGACATGTCCCCTGCCCCGCCCCTTGCCCGGCCGCCCCCTCGCCCTCGGGCGGCTCGAGTGCCTCGCCGCCAAGGTGTGGATGAAGTCGGCCTAGTCCACACACGCCCATCCACGTGGTGAATGCTTGCGTCCCTCAGCCCGCTCCTCCCGCCCGCAGAGAGGGATCTGTGGAAGCGGCGTCACCTGCTCGGCGGGCAGCGGCGGCGGCGATCCCCCAAGCAGCTCGAGCCAACCAGCCTGCGCCGCCACCGCCGCCGCCGCGCCGCCACCGCCGCCGCCGCCCCCGGGCGGAGATGGTGCGCCGGGCCGCAGACCATGCGGTCCCCCGGAGCTGTTCGCCGCGGCGGCAGACGCAGAGAGCGGCGCCACCTCACCCCTCGACGCCGGCCCGGGGGGAGATGAGTGCGGGGTGAGGTAGACGCTCGACGCGGCGGAGCTCGAGACGGCGGGCGAGTCCACCTATGACCGGGGAGTCGGGGACGAGTCGCCAGGCACGCCCATGCGTGTGTCGCGACAACGACGGGGAAGACTGCCGGCGGGCGCGGGTCGAGAGGTGTGCCGGTCGGGCCAGCGGCGGCCGGAGAGCAGTCGGCCTCCTCCGCCAGTCTCGAGGCCGGGGCGGGGGGCCAGCCTCCTCCTCCCTCCGCCGCATACCCCTCCGCCGCATAGCCCTGCTGAGGGTACCCCTCCTGAGGGTACCCCTCCTGAGGGTACCCCTCCTGAGGGTACCCCTCCTGAGGGTACCCCTCCTGAGGGTACCCCTCCTGAGGGTACCCCTCCTGCGCATACCCCTCCGCCAAGTAGCCGCTCCCCTGAGAGAAGCCCGCCCCGTGCGAGAAGCCCTCCTGCACTACAGCGCCGCGCATCGCCGGAGGCGTCGGCGCCCGCGCGCGCGACTTTGCGGCGGCGGCGAAGCGGCGGCTGTGCGCGTCCGACGCGGCGGCGGCAACGGCGGCGGCGGCGGCGTTGGCGGCCGCCGCGGCGTTGGCTGCGGCGGCATTGGCGGCAGCTGCGGTGGCCGTGGCGGGCGGGTCGAGAGCCGAGTCGTGCATGTCGCGGTCCATGCGGTCCGCCTGGACGGGGTACCCCTCCCCGCCGTACCCCTCTGCAGCGCCGTACCCGTCTGCAGCGCCGTACCCGTCTGCAGCGCCGTACCCGTCTGCAGCGCCGTACCCGTCTGCAGCGCCGTACCCGTCTGCAGCGCCGTACCCGTCTGCAGCGCCGTACCCCTCTGCAGCGCCGTACCCCTCTGCAGCGCCGTACCCGCCCTGCTGGGCGCACTGCTCCTCCTCCTCGAGCATGCTCTCCTCCGCCGGCGCGTGAGGCCCGCCCGCCCCGCCCGCCCCGCCCACCCCATCCTCCTCCATCTCCGCCAGCGGCGGCGACGGAGGCCGGCGCTGCGGCGGCGGCCCCGCCCTCGCCCCTCTCCAGCCCCGGCCGTCCGACTCGTCTACGGCATCGACCGGAGCGACCCGCCGGAGCACCCGCTCGCACTGCCACGCGGCAACAGCGTCGCACAGCCTCGCGCGCAGCTGCGCCGGGCAGCCGGCGATGGCGGCCTAGAGGCACCAAACACTCGAGCATGCATGCACAAAGGGGGGGGGGGGGTACGATCAGGGCAGCGGCGGGAAACAAGGGGCTGCTCTGGCAGTGCCAACGGGGTGGGCACGCGGCGGAGTGAGGCCCAGGGAGAGCGCCTCCGGCATCTAGAGGACTCGCGGCCGCAGACAAGCGTCGGAAGTGTCTCGGAAGTGTCTCGGAAGTGTCTCGGAAGTGTCTAGGACTCGCGGACAAGCGTCTAGGAGGTGTCTAGGAACTGTCTCGGAAGTGTCTCGGAAGCAGCTAGGAGTCGCGGCCGCAGAAGGGCCCTCCGAGAGGGAAGCGGCGAGGCGGCGGGCGTAGTGGCCCCTCGCCGCCGCGGCCTAGTCCTCACGAATGGAGGGATCATCACTAGGCGGGGGTCGCAGCTGGTGACATCTCGCCGCCGCAAGCGCCTCCGACTCGAGAAGCGAACGCGCCCGCGCCGCCGCCTCCCTCGCCCCGCCTCCCTCCCCGCCGCCGCCGCCCGCCGACTCGCTCTCCTCCATTCTCTGCGGCTGCTGCTGCTGCTGCGACCGCTGCTGCTGCTGTGACTGCTGCTGTGACTGCTGCTGCTGCTGCGGCTGCGGCTGCGGAGGCTGCAGCACCCGCTGCAGCGTCGCCACCGCCTCCGCGCACCGCTCGTCCTCGAGCAGGTGCGCCTGACCAGTCATCGAACACCAGTCACCAGTCACCAGTCACCAGTCACCAGTCAGAATGCATGGCTCGTCCTCGAGCAGGCGCGCCTCGAGAGGGGCGAGGCTCCCTTCCAGCGCGTCCGCCGCCACCAGCAGCGCGTCCACCCACGGAGGGGAGCAGCGGAGGGCCTACTCAACCAGGAGTGGCTGCTGATCATGAGCTCTCGCGCGCACGAAAGCGAGTAGCGGGATGGCCTCGGCCACGGCGGCGCACGCGCCTGCGTCGTGGACGGGCCGGGGTCAGGGGCGTGGCGCGCTGCACCCCTGCGCCTCGCGTGGAGACGAAGGCCGCTAGTGCAGTAAAGGCCGCGAGTGCAGTGGACTGCGGTACGGACTGCCGCGCCGTCCACGCAGGGAGAGGGAGACCGCGGGGAGATTGAGATTGGCATCTGGGCGCACGAGCCTGGTGCGGCCTGCACTCCGCGCGCGTACTCGACCCACGCGCTGCCCGCGCCGGCCGGCGGCGCAGCGGCCATGCGGCCCGCCGCCTGCGCGGCGGCGGCGAGCGCGGCGGAGGAGGAGGCGCCTGCAGGAACCTTCCGTGAAAGCTCCGCGAGGGAGAGGGGGCGAGGCGTGTGGTGCGCGCGAGACGAGCGAGCGGCTTCGGGGTCTGGCGGCGTGTGGAGACGAGGGGTTGCGAATCCCGCGGCCACAGTGTGAGCACAGGAGAGAGCAGGCGGGTGCGCGCGTCCTCCCATCGTCTCGCCGGAAAGCAGAATCCGTGTGTTGCAGCGAGTGTTGCAACTTCTAGTGTGTGCGATCCTGTCCCGGAGGGAGAGGGGGAGAGGCGGGCATCGAGCAAGGCGACGGCGACGGCGGCGCGCAGCACGTCGTCCTGCCGGTCGCGGCCGTACGAGGGCGGCGAGGCGGCGGGCGACGAGCGCGCCGCAGAGTGGAGCCGGCCGGCGGTGGCACACTCATCGTACAGAGGACCGTGCGGCGCCGCGCCGAGAGAGTGCGAGCCCTCTGCAGGCGGGGCGGCGGCGGCGGCGGCAGGGTCGGCGCGGAGCGCCGCCAGCTCCCGCGAGAGCGCGGCGTTGGCGGCGGAGAGCCGCCGCACCTCAGCGCGCAGCTCGCGCGCCTCCGCCTCGACTTCGGGCAGCGCCGCGAGGAGGACCTTGGCCTCGCACGCGGTCCGGCGGTGCGCACGCTGGGCTGCGGCGAGGCTGGTCTCAGCGCCGTCGCAGCTGGTGCCGGCGCCATCGGGCGATGTGGCCGCCGCCAACTCTGGCTGCCGTCGAACCACTCGCGGAGTCGGGGCGCGGTTCTCCTCGCTCAGGGCGGCGTTGGAGCGAGCGCTGAGGACGGTACGCTGCGCGGCGCGAGCCGCCTCGCGCTCAATCTCTAGGAGGTGCTGCGCAAAGGAGCGTGGCGGTCGCGGGTGAAGCATTTTCAGCCTCTAGGGCGGCCATGGGCAAAAGAAAAACGAAGTCTCGCTTCGAATTCTTTTACATGGGAACTACTTCGTTGATGGGGACCGAGGGGTGACTAGCACAGACATGGCTGACAGCTCGAGCCACCCCGTGCTGGTTTATCAACCGGCGCCAGTTCCCGTCACTCCGCGGTCCTCCCCTCAGCCTCACCACCCTGATTCGGTGAGCGAGCCTGCGCGTTCTCCCAAGCGGAAGCGCAAGGAGCTCATGGAGGTGTGCTGGGGCGATGCCTTTTCGGGCGGCAACCTGGGTTGCGCAAAAATGTCTCATCGGCCCAAGGGCGCCTTCAGAGAGCACTTTTGCAGGCGATGCCGGGAGCAGGGCGTGTGTGTGCCCATCTCGAGGGTGCGCGTGCCCGTCGGCGAGGGCTCCGGGGAGATAGGCAACCGCAAGACGGGCGGCTGCTGGAACGAGCCGTCCCTGGCCTCGCATCTGCCTGCGCACCGCGTCATCGGCAGAGCCAAGGACTGCGCGGGCCCCGTGCTCGTCATATTGCGGGACGAGGCTCCGCCGCTGCCCGGCCTCGCCGAGGCCGCCGCGCTCTCCCTCTCCGATCCGGTCCGCTTCCGCGTCGGCCGCACGCTCATACCTCCACCGATGGCGGCCGTGGTCGCCGTGCCAGTGCCAACCTCGCCGCCCTGGCGCCTGCCACCCCTCGCAGTTATCGCCTTGGGGGAGGACTCCCCGGCCTGCCGGCGGAGGACAGGCGCAGCACCAGTTGTCGCCGGGCCTGAGGCTGCGCCGGCTCCAGCAGGCGCGCACCAGCGCCTTGGGCCTAGCCAACACCTGCTCCCCTCCGAGCTGGGCTGCGCCGAGGCCCTGTGCCTTCTGCGTGCGCCGCCCACCGGGTGAGCATGATGTGTATATTTTTCGTATGTGTTTATTATTATTTCTCTTCTTTTGGCATTTGTGTTTGTGATCACGTTGCGCGCGCAAATATGAAACATGTGGCGCAGGAGCGACACCGCCGGGGTCGATCGACAGGAAAATATTTCGGCAGAAAAGGGCACAGTCCACAGAGGCGTGTGTCAATATGGTTTTCGTTTATGGTTTAAGATCGCCGCACGGGCGGCGCGGAGACACCTGGGTATCCTGTTCACCTTTTTAACACAATCTCCTAGGAGAGGTTGTTTATTTATTTATTTCAATGGTTTTGGACCCCGAGATTCAGGGGTGCAACGCGCCGCCCCTGGGACCACGACGCCGGTCGGCGCCACGCGCCCGGCTGCCAAGCAGGAAGCCGAACACGGCCGCAACAGGGGTGGCGAGTATCAGCGCGTGCGCCCGCAGAAAGCTGTCTTCGTCCGTCGTGCAATCGACGGGCCCGAATCGCCCCCGAGACCCCCGCACCGCCTTCTCGGCCGCCGCCGGCTCGGCCACCGCGGCGGCGCCCACAGCTTTGCCTGGCAACGCCGCCGCCCGCCTCTGGGCGCGGCCCGCGGGATGCGGCGGCGCCGACGGCTCGCCACCCCCCGCTTGCCCTTCCGCCGCAGCTCCAAACCGGACGAGGAGGGCCCGCGCCTCGTGCGGCTCGACGTGCCTCGCCGTGTAGAGCGCGGTGAACCGCCCCTCCGCCTCCATCTCCCACGCGTCGACCACCGCCGCCGTCGCCTCCGACCCCTCCTCCCACAGCGCCGGCGGGCACGCGCCGCAAGCGGCTTGGCAGTTGGCCTTCATGAAGCCCGCGTTCTTGTCGCACTCGCCGCCGCGCGCCCAGCTCGCGCACGTCGCGTCCTTCTCCGCGTTGCTGCAGGCCGGCTCTCGCGCTACGTGCGACTCGTGCCCGCGGGACGCGTCGGTCAAGTCTCTCCTCCAGCGGACGGTGATGTCGGCCGGCGTCTCGCCCCCGTTGAAAAGCAGCAGCGCGTGCGCGCCGTCGGCGAGCGGCTTGCTCCAGATCGCGAGCGGCCCGTTGCGCCACACGCGCCGCGCCGCGACGCCGAGCGGGTCTTGGCTGATGGCGAGCATGCCTTTGGAGGTGAGGATGCGGCGCGTGGCAGCGCTCATGCGGCGCGGGTCGTTCCCGAGCATGAGGGGGCTGGAGAGCATGCACCAGAGCGCGAAGTGGGTCCGCTGCTCGGTGCGGGTGAGCCCGCCGACCATCCCCCACTGCTGCCGCGAGATGTACTGCCCAGGCGCGCACGTGCCGTTTGGAAGGTGGGGCGGGCACTGGTCGACGATGCCGTAGGGAGTCATGCCGTCGAGGCCGACCACGAGCATGTCGAGATCGTTGAAGCCGCCGGGGCCGTCCACGGCTCGCTGCGCCGCGTCGGCATCCTCGACCGCCGTCATGATGGACTGGAGGTACCCCGGCAACTTGTGCAGCTTCCGCGCCGCCGCCTCATCCCACACTGCAAACACGTCCCGCCCCGTCCTCCAGCTGTGGCCCACGTTGTGCCCCCAGCGGTTCGGGCGCCCGCCGCCCCAGTTGCAGAGCGAAAACAGCATCGGCCTCCCCGTCGCGTTGAGCGAGTCGCGCATGACGCTGTACCGCCGCTCCGGCTGCCTCTCCGCCGTCGGCACCTTCTCCATGCCGCAAAAATCGAGCTTGAGGTAGTCAACTCCTGTCATGGACGCGTCGTGGACGTGTCACGGACGTGTCACGGACGTATTTCGGGTGCATATGCATCGCATGGACGTGTCGTGCACGTGTCGCGGGGTCGGGCAGGAAGCCAGCCACCCCACGACGCGTAATCGGCCGCGTCCTCGCGTTCGTGGCCGTATGAGCCCGGCAGCCCCTCACACGTCGTCTCTCCTGCGCACGAGTAGATTCCAAACTTGAGCCGCCGCTCGTGGATGTACTTGCCGAGCGCCGCCATGCCGCTTGGAAAACGGCGAGGGTCGACAACGATGTGGCCGTCTCCACTCCGCTTCTTGTCCATCCAGCAGTCGTCTATGTTGACGTACTGGTAGCCCGCATCGCGAAGCCCTGTGGAAACCATCGCATCGGCGACCTCATGGATGAGCGCTTCGTCCAGGCCCTCACAACGAAACGTATTCCAGCTGTTCCAGCCCATCGCAGGAGTGCGGCCGACACCGTTGTCGAGAGCCAGGACGAGCAAGGTGTAGGGCAGCGACATTAGCAGGCCGACCACGTGAACTTAGCTCCCCGGGCGTCCGACTCGCCAGGCCGATGTTAGTCAAACAAAGAAAAACAAACCCATCCAACAGCTGTTGACCGAGCCTCCGTCCGCTGTGAGTGCTGGGACCGCCGATGGGGCATATATTGTGCATATGGAGAGAGAAGCCGTAAAGCCCTTCCCGTACCGGGCAGGGCAGTGACCAGTGTTCTAGGTGTGTATATGTGTGCAAGTGGGTCACGCACACGACTGTGGTGTGTGGACTCTGGACGGCCGGTGTGATCACACTTATCGCCCAGGACACCGGACGCCCGAGATGTGCGCGAAAAATACTTTAGCACGGCCGCGTGTCGGTGGTTTGCAGCCTAGTGCCTGTGCAGCTGCATGTGCACGATGGTAAGTGGGCACCGCCCTCCCCGCCGAACTAGCACGGCCCTCTCAGTTGTAGTGCGTCGGCCTTGCCTCCCCTTCCGGGACGTGCTCCACCTGCTCACAAGCAGTCGCACTCAGTGCGAGCACCCTACCCGAGGTCTGCGGGCTAAGGCCCCACCGCCGCGGAGTCGAGCTCGGTCATCTTTGGAACCACCACCTGAGGGGAGGGAAAGGGGCCGAGGCGGCGGCGCGCACGATGTGGGGGCCAGTGTGTGTGAAAAGGTGTGTGTGTGTGTGGGGGGGGGGGGGAGTAGCGGCCGGGGGAGGGTGGTGCGGCCCAAGTCGCACCGTCGAGGTGATGGTGACGCGCTTGCACAGGGTGTACAACAGCCAGGCCGCGGCCGGGATGGCGATCGCACAGATGAGGAGGACGACGACAGCCGTGTCAGAGGCCAACGATGGCGCTGGAGGCGGCGGCGGTGGAGGCGACATGACGCTGCACCCTATCGTCTCCCCACTCGAGGTCTCCGTGCAGTACGGCGCGTTGCTCGGGAGGGGGCACCTGCAGCACGCCCGAGGGTCGC